CTCCTCCTCCGCCTCCTCCTCCTCCTCAATTTCTCTCTCTCCCTCTTTCTCTCTCTCGCTCGGCCCGTGTCTAGCCCGCCACCTCTGCCTGCGGCGCCCGGTCCACCGCCTCCCACCGCCTTAGCCTGCACTGCCAGGCTCCCCGGCTCCTCCTCCGCACCCTCCCTCTCGCGGGTTTCACTACTTGTCGAGAGCATGCCCCACCTCGGGGGTGCGGGCACGGTGCTCTGCAGTCGAAGCGTTGGCCTGTCACGACTGTCTGGGATAAGGCCCACTTCGGCCTCTCCAGGGCTCCTCGCCTCCTCCCTCCCCCAGGTTCCATTACTGGTTGAGCGTGTGCCCCACCTTTGGGGCGCGGGAATTTACTGGCCCCTACAACCAAAGCGCTGGCTTCCACAGTCACGACGGTTTGGGATACGGTCCACTTGGGTCTGAAGGGGGGCTCGATCTTCCTCGGGCTCTGTCATTGGCTTTCCTCTGGCGACTATCGCGCATCTAGTCTTAACCGCTGAACAAAACGGGCATCGTTCTGGATCCATGGTTCCTTATGGCAAGACTTGGACTGCACATATTGGGCTAATGCAGCAGTGTTGGTATACATGTAGGGAGCGCAGCATTTGTCGCTCGTCTGTGGAAGGCTTCGCATTCGGGTCGAGTTGATCCGGCACAATGCAATGAAAGATAGTGTGAGATACTGCGAAGAGAAAAACTTGCTCTATTATATATCTCTCCGCACTCCTTCCCCCAGACGTCATCACCATCATCAACAGAATCATCCCACTCCTCATCCCACTTCACCCTCCCACAAACGCTCCTCTCACCTCAACCCACGGAGGAGGAAGAGGAGGAGGAGAAGCTCATCCTCTTCCTCCTCCTACTCCTCCTCATCCGCGTCCTCATCATCCCCCTCCTCCCTCTTCCTCCCCCTGCCCACCCGCCTCTCCCCATCCTCATCCTGCTCCTCCTCCTCCTCCTCCTGCTCATCCCTCTCCTACTCCCGCTCCTGCCCCACCGACTACTCCATCCCCCTCCTCCTCCTCCTCCTCCTCCTCCTCCTCCTCCTCCTCCTCCTCCTCCTCCTCCTCCTCATCCCTCTTCCTATTGCTCTTTCTACTCCTCCTCCTCCTTCCTCCTCCTCCGTCTCTGCTCCTCCTCCTCCTCATCATCCGCATTATCAGCATTATCAGCATTTATCATAAGCATCATCATCATCATCATCATCATCATCATCATCATCATCATCATCATCATCATCATCCTCATCATCGTCATCATCATCATCATCATCATCATCATCATCATCATCATCATCATCATCATCAGCATCATCATCATCACCATCATCATCATCATCATCATCATCATCATCATCATCATCATCATCATCATCATCATCATCATCATCATCACCATCAGTATCCTCCTCCTCCTCCTCCTCCTCCTCCTCCTCCTTGGCAGGTCCAGTGCAAGGAGGTCATGTAGAGCATCTTCCAGTCGTCCCCATCGTGCATCGCCTGGTCGACCATGTAGTACTGCACCCAGCCGCTCTTCGTGCCGTACGATCGCCACCTGACCCGCCCCGTCGGAGCTGCCAGCCCTCCCAGCGCCCTGCCGCAGCGAAAGCCATGGCCCCCCCCGCCTACAAATAATCCCGCACGTCCTTGACAGATGGCAACAGCTTGACAGATGGAGGGCGGGTGGTTTTCAAAATCTGGCTCTCGCATTAGCGCCGCGCACATTCGCTTTAAAAGATTGCAAGAGCTTCACGGGTTGAGAGCGGGTGGTTTTCAAAATCTGGCTCTCGCCTTAACGCCGCGCAGATTCTTTTTAATTTTTTGCAAGAGCTTCACGGATTGAGGGCGGGTGGTTTTCAAAATCTGGCTCTCGCCTTAGCGCCGCACACATGCGTTTTAAAAACTTGCACGAGTTTCACGGATTGAAGGCGGGTGGTGTTCAAAATGTGGCTCTCGCCTTAGCGCCGCGCACATTCGCTTTAAAAACTTACACGAGGGCATACATATATGGGGCCACGAAAGGCAGCGAGAAAGCCACGAAAGGCCGCTACGGGGCCACAAAGGGCAGCGAGGGGGCCACGAAGGGCTGCAACGGGGCCACGAAGGGCTGCTCAGGGGCCCCACAAAAGGCTGCAACGGGGCCACGAAACAAAGCGAGGGGGCCACGAAGGGCTGCAACCGGGCCACGAAGGGCTGCTCAGGGGCCCCACAAAGGGCTGCAACGGGGCCACGAAACAAAGCGAGGGAAGGGCTGCAACCGGGCCACGAAGGGCAGCGAGGGGGCCACGAAGGGCTGCAACGGGGCCACGAAGGGCAGCGAGGGGGCCACGAAGGGCTGCAACGGGGCCACGAAGGGCAGCGAGGGAGCCACGAGGGGCTGCAACGGGGCCACAAAGGGCAGCGAGGGGGCCACGAAGGGCTGCAATGGGGCCACGAAGGGCATCGAGGGGACCCACGAAGGGCTGCAACGGGGCCACGAAACAAGGCGAGGGGGCCACGAAGGGCTGCAACCGGGCCACGGAGAGCAGCGAGATCCCGATTTATAAATAATCTGCGAGGGAGTCCGAAGCGTGAGCGCGACTCCTGGGCGCCTGAGTATCGGGAGCGCGGCGTTGAGTAAATTGCGGGAAATTCCAACGCAAGGGCGCTATTCTTGAGTAAATTGCACGCAAGTCTCCAGCGAGAGCTCGACTCCAGAACGCCGAGAAAACGATTCCTGAATAAATTGTAAGGAAGTCCCAAGCGAGAGCGCGATTCCTGAATAAAATGCGAGGAAGTCTCGGGCGGGAGCGGGGGTCCTGGCTAAACTGCGAGGAAATCTCAGGCGGGAGCCGTTGTTGTTGTAACCCGGGGGCCAACAACACAGTTTGAGGACGGAGATTTTCCCTGATTTAAAAAAACAGGGAGCGAGCGCCGGGAGGGGCACTTCCACTGAGAAAATACAATGTGCACCAGAAGGGGGGGGAACTACAACAATCATCTTTCGTTTATGAGAGTTCAACCAAACGTCAACAGCAAGACACCAACAACAAACACAAAAATACAGAGAAAAGTAACCAGGCGGACGCCCCCACGCCTCCGCCGCCAGCGCGTCCGCCTGTGGAGAGCTGGCAGCCACCGTCTTCGCAGTCACTGCGGCGCGCGGACGCGCAGCGCACGGCTTGTGCAGGCCTTGCGAAGCCGTGCGCCACCCCCGGCAAGCGGCAGCGAGCGGTGCTGGGACGCCTCCAACAGGGGCCTGGCACTGGCAGGCTCTGGCAACATTGGCACTCCGCACCAGTTGCAAAGGCGCGCCAGATCCCGATCAGCATCGGGGGGGCGTGGCTAGTTTCACTTACTTTTGGAACCGTTGGTGTAGGCTCGCCGACACCTGGGTTCGCAAATCGGCTGAGGTAGCAATGACCTTCGGCTGTGCCGCGTTGCAAGAGGGTTCTCCTAGTTCAACCGTCTGTCAATGAAGCTTGGGCTTGCGTGTCGCGAGCTCTGAAGGGAGGCAGACCTACGGGCGTAGGCTTCGCTGACGGCTAGGTTCATTCTCCGAGCGGGCATGGGGTGCAACAGGGCTGCGGCTGGAAGCGTTGTATCCCAGGGCCGCTCCAATGCAGTATCTGCCCTGGAGCTGGCGCGGGTGCCTGCTGGCACCCTGTCTCTCTATCTCTCTGCAGCAGCGTTCGTCGAGGCAGACCCAGGGGCGTAGGCTTTCGCTGCTCTGGAGCCTTGCTTCGCCGGCGATGTGCCCGCCCTTCGGGCACCCTGGTGGCCAGAAGCACGCCTCCATCTCGAAGCGGAACCGCCGGTGCAGGCTCCGCCGACGCCCAGGATCGGCCTCCGGGCAGCGGCAGGGGCAGCGCTCCCCTCGGGGTGTTGCCCGTCTCGCTGCCTCTCCTGGCAGCCTCTGCATGGCTTGCGCGAGTCGCCCCTTCCACGCGGGGGCGGTTGGCAAACGCTGGTGTGGCAACGGCGGCGAGCTCGGGCCCCGCGGGTCCTCGCCGGTGCCGTGCGGCACGGCCTGGCGCTGCGGGCGAGGTGCCGAGGGCAGCGTTCGGGCTCAAGCGGCGCTCGAGCCTGGGCCCCTAACCGTCTCTGACGCAGTGGGTGATCATCATCACCACCCAGAACCACCGCATCGACCACCACCACCACCACCATCATCGCCATCATCATCGTCATCATCATCATCATCATCATCATCATCATCATCATCATCATCATCATCATCATCATCATCATCATCATCATCATCGTCATCATCGTCATCATCCTCATCCTCATCCTCATCCTCATCCTCATCCTCATCATCATCATCATCCTCATCCTCATCCTCATCCTCATCCTCATCCTCATCCTCCTCCTCATCCTCATCCTCATCCTCATCCTCTTCCTCATCCTCATCCTCCTCCTCATCATCATCAGCAGCAGCATCATCATCATCATAATCATCATCAGCAGCAGCATCATCCTCATTAGAATCATCATCAGCAGCATCATCATCAGCATCCTCGTCAGCATCATCATCATCAACATCATCAACACCAGCAGCAGCATCATCAGCATCAGCATCATCATCATGATCATCATCAGAAATCTCATTATCATCATCAACATCATCGTCGGCATGTTCATCGGCATCACTAGCATCACCGTCGTCAACAACGGAATCCTCATAATCCTCAACATCATCGTCTTATTCCTCCCCATTATCAGCATCATCCTGAGCAGCATCACCATAATCATCTTTACGTGTGTCGTCAACCTCGTCACCATCATCAGCAAAGTCCTCCTTATCAGCAGCACCATCAGCAGCAGCAGTATCAGCATCACCATGTTACCCGCATCGTCCACATCATCATCAGCATTAAGTTCATCAACATCATTGTCATCAGCATTATCCCCCTCATCCGCATGATCGTCATCATCGTCGTTAGTAGCATGATGCTCATCGTCATCACCATACCCATTAACGTCATGATCATGATCATGATCGTCATCAACCTGATAGCCATCATCAGTAGCAGCATCATCAGCAGCATCATTTTCATAATGGGCGTCATCATAGTCGTCGTCAGCACGATCATCATCAGCAGCAGCATCACTAGTATCACCATCAGCATCATCATGCTCTCATCCTCATCCCCATCCCCGTCCTTCGCCTCGTCCGCTTCTGAAGTCCATTCCTCCATCCCGTCCTCCCCATCCACCTCCTCGTCGTCATCCTCGTGTTCCCACCCGCTATCATCCTCTTACTCCTACACATATGTCCTACTTGCCGTGGCGTCTCCAAGATGTACAGCAATCGTCAATGTGCTACTGGTCTAGGTCATCAAAATCACGCCTGCTCCCTATCCTCCATACCAGTCGCCTAGTTTCCGGTAGGCACCATCTCAAAACATTCCACCCACCCTCATCTTGACCCTCCTCGCATGAATCCCCGATACTTCTTACTTATATTACGCGCTTCCTACTCGTACTCGCCATCCTCGTTAGTCGTCACCGTCATCCGCCACCGCGCCTGTAGCGGTTGGTGTGTCGGGCCTGTTGTTGTCGCTAATTCCACGTCTGGCGTAGCACAAACTACGGCCCCCTGGCGCGTCCAATATGCTCTCAGTTGTTCAGCCCATTACATGCGATTTTCGCTTCTCAAATATAAAATGGCCCTAAGTTCACAAACACAGGAGGGAGGGTCCACGGCCCTACTCCCGTAGGCGCCCGCCCCCCACCCCGCCCGTAGGTCACGCCACCTGTTGCGCCTTTACGTCGCGCCGTTCTGACCGGGTTGCTTTGCAATGGCACCTAGTGTGGCGCATTGCTCTGCACAGCCGGCGTTGCACTCGAGCTGTTTACACTTCGCTGCATTGTTTCAGATTGTTTGGCATTGCCCTGTTTCAGTATCAATTGCGCCAACAGGTCCACGAATTCGCTGTTTGGGACCCTCGCTGTGGTGATGTGTTGTAGCGGATTGTGGCATAGGAAAAAACACTGATCATTCAATGGCGGCTGGCCTACGGCTTACTGGCTCGTCTGGCTTTGTGTTGCGCGCCCCTTGGGAGCCAAAACTTGTCCTGCGTCCACTTTCTCATGCGCGGTGACCGCACACTGGCCTTGAGCACACAAGTCTTCCGGCGGCGGAAGTGTGGAGCACTGCCCCTCGCTGGCGCGAGGGGGCGAGGAGGAGGGGGTGGTTGGATGGATGGATGGCCTGGATGGACGGATGAATGGATGGGTGTGCTCCCATTGAACTGGCGGCGGAAGCGTCGGACGCAGCTTCCTATTAGCAAGGAGACACAAATCCAGAGAGGGGTCGGAAACGATCTTGCTGCGACGGCTTTGGAAGACTGTCCGCCAGCGCTGGAGGGGAGGAGGGGAGGGACGCGAAGGCAGTGCTCTTCTTGGGGCCCGTACGACTCCTGGGACGAGGGGGAGGAAGAGGGGGCACGGGGGGGAAGACATCCGCCGAGCTGGCTCCACCTGCGCCTCCGCTCCCCCCCGCTGCCCCAGAACCTGCGCTACCAAAGCACACCCTGGCGACAACGACCCGAAACAGCATGCGCAAAGAGCAGAGAGCGAGCACCACACTTCAGGGCACGCACGGGAGACCGTACGATACGGGAGGCCATCCCGGAGTCCACACGGGGGACCACACGGGAGACAGTACGGGAGACCACACAAGCACCGCTTCCAGGGCCCGCAACGGTCCCCCCCCCCTGGCTCTTCTCACGAGCCACAGTTCAAGAACCCGCACAGACAAGCTGTGTGGGAAACCAGACATCTGCCTCTCCCTCCGCGCCTGCCTCCTTGCGTCGCTGACACCCTGCCAGGGTCAATCCGTTCTTTTCTGCTGCTGCTGCTGCTGCTGCTGATGCTGTTGCTGCTGCTGCTGCTGCTGCTGCTGCGGCCGCCGCCGCCGCTGTTGCAGCTGCCCATGGTCTTGCCAGCGCCGCGGGCATCGAGGAGTCAGCGCGTTGCGTGCGAAGGAGCTGCTGGACGCTCGAGCTGGTCGGCGGGAGGGCCCAAAACGCGAAGTGCAGGTGGGCGAGGCGACACAAGGAGCCCGAGGAGGGAAAGAGGAGCTCAAATAGGGGAGCCAACAATGGCATAAACATGAAAACTCGGAGGTCCGCCCGGATTTCTCAGATCGGCGCTCGACCCCCCTCGGGGCGGCGCCGGAGGCACCGGCAGGGGGGTCCAGCGTGGATCCGAGAAATCCGCGCGGACCTCCGAGTTTTTATGTTTATGTCACTCCCCGTTCCCCTATGCATGAATCTGTCAAGGTTGCATCGTCAGCGTAGCAACGTTACCTGTGCGTAAGAGGGGTTCACCACTCATGACTCTCTGTGCACGATCCGCGCAAGGGGTGTGCGGAGAGGTGCGCGGGGAGTTTGCATGTTTATGTCATTGCTCGTTCCCTACCAAAGGCAGGCAATTTAGCCGCGGTCGTAGCCCGCCCGCGACCTCCCGCCGCTGGCGCTTCCGCCTAAAAAAAAAAAAAAAAAAAAATCTTTTAAACAAAAAAAAAAAAAAAAACTACCAAAGGCCATCGGACGGGGGCGCGGCGAGAGGACTTTGTGGCCGACCCGGCCCAGGCCCCCCTGCCCGCGCGGCGGTGCCGAGAGAGGCGGGTGCCTGCGGCACACCCGGGCTGCGCGCCGCTGCCCGAGCCCGTCCAGACAGAGGAAGGACGACGACGACGCCGACGCCGACGACGACGACGACGACGACGACGACGACGACGGCGACGACGACGACGGCGACGATCACGACCACGACGACGACGGCGACGATCACGACGACGACCAAGACGACGACGACGACGACGACGACGACGACGACAACGACGACGACGGCGACGACGACGAAGACGACGACGAGGACGTGAAAGACGATCGATGAAGATGCTCAAGGCGAGCGACAGGCCGGGCCGGGACACGACGAGGCGCTGGCAGATCGGCGGAGCAGCGACGGACGGCAGCGACGGACGGCAAGGCAGCAGCAGTAGCAGCACTGTCAGAAGTGCCAAGCCCCGGGGACCTCATGTGCCCGAGCTCGACCCAGAGGCAGGATATCACGTGGTTGATTAACAGGATGCCCTGCCCTCCTGCTGTAGAAGGTGCCAACGAAGGCGACCACGCTTGCGTCTCCTCCTACACCTCCTCATCATCCTCCTCTTCCTCCTCCTCATCCTCCTCCTCCTCCTCATTACCCTCCTCATTATCCCCATTTGCGCGACGACGGTGATTCAATATGCCAGTCACGAGGGCAGTGCCTATGAGAATATTGAGACATGGCAGTTGTGAGTAGGCAAAGCGCGAGTCCAAGGGACTGTAGGATAAGCGCCGTTCTGCACGACAAACTCGGCGAAAGCCTGCTGCCTCGCGGGGCCACTCACGACAGTGCCATCCACGAGAGAGAGTGGCGAAGAGGGCGAGGGCGAGGGCGAGGGTGGGGTCAGCATCCGCCTCCTCCTCCTCCTCCTCCTACTCCTCCTCCTCATCATCATCCTCATCATCATGTCGTCGGCATCATCATCATCATCATCATCATCATCATCATCATCATCATCATCATCATCATCATCATCATCATCAGCAGCAGCAGCAGCAGCATCATCATCATCAGCAGCAGCAGCAGCAGCATCAGCATCATCATCATCATCATCATCATCATCATCATCATCACATCATCATCATCATCATCATCATCATAATCATCATCATCATCATCATCATCATCATCATCATCATCATCAGCATCATCATCATCATCAGCATCATCATCGTCGTCATCATCAGCAGCAGCATCATCAGCAGCATCATCAACATCACCATCATCACCATAATCATCAACAGCAGCAGCCGTAGCAGCATCAGCATCAGCATCAGCATCATCACAATCAGCATCAACATCAGCAGATGCAGCAGCATCATCATCAACATCACCATCATCATCATCAGCAGCAGCATCATGATCATCATCATCATCATCATCATCAGCAGCATCATCAGAATCATCATCATCATCATCATCAGCAGCAGCATCATCATCATCGTCAGCAGCAGCATCAGCATCGTCATCATCATCAGCATAATCATCAGCATCATCAGCATCATCATCAGCAGCAGCATCATCAGCAGCAGCAGAATCGTCCCTTGGTATCCTCTTCCTCATGCTCCACCTCGTCCTCCTCCTCCTTGCCCTCCTCCTCCTCCTAATCCACCTCCTCCTCATCCTCACCCTCCTCATCCTCCTCATCCTCCTCCTCGTGCTTCTCCTCCTCCTCCTCCTCATCCTCATCATCATCCCTAATCCCTCCTCCTGCTCCTCGTCCTCCTCCTATCCTCCTCCTCCATCCTCCTCTCCTCCTCCTCCTCCTCCTCCTCCTCCTCCTCCTCCTCCTCCTCCTCCCTCCTCCTCTCCTCCTCCTCCTCCTCCTCCTCTCCTCCTCGCCTCCTCCTCCCCTACTCCTCCTCCTCCTCCTCCTCCTCCTCCTCCTCCTCCTCCTCCTCCTCCTCCTCCTCCTCCTCCTCTTCCTCCTCCTTCTCCCCATTCTTCCCTCTCCTTGCCCAGATACCCCTGGTTTTCACACCTTGCATAATCGTCAATGTCGCCCTGCTCGTATTCCTCGCTCTCTCGTCTTCCTCGCTCTTCCCGGGCCCTCCATCATGTACTTCGCGATCTGCATCACCATCGAGGAGAGCTGGGAGCGCCCCACGAGCGATAGAAATTCCTGGGAGGCCGGTCGCTTGCTCTGGGCCCTCATCCTCCTCCTCCTCCTCCTTCTCATCCTCCTCCTCCTCCTCCTCCCTCCTCCTCCTCCTCCCCCCCTCCCCCTCCTCCTCCTCCTCCTCCTCCTCCTCCTCCTCCTCCTCCTCATCATCATCATCATCATCATCATCCTCCTCATCCTCCTCATCCTCCTCCCAGTGGTTTGGTTGTCTGCCTGGTCCGTCCCAGCCTCCCCAGCAACTGCTTCCAAATGTCTGATGGCGATTGCGGCCGGTACTGGGTACGGGTCCCCTTTGTCGCTGGGTATGCCAAGTGTATCGCAGATCAGTGAGTGGACAGTCGTACGCAGACGCTTCTTCTCGAAACGCGCGACCTCACTCTCGAACTTTCGTTTTTCGGGCATGTCGGCCACCGCACGTCAGTTCGCTTGAGCCGAAAAGTTAAGGATGTATTGCACAGCTGAAGCGTTGCCACGCTCAGCCTACAAGAAATGAGGTGTCGCCACGCTCATTTCTGCAAAGGCGCAAACACTATAGTGCTTCTGCTTCCTATGAGTTTGGCCCAGGAGGAAGCTTTGCCCTATGGGTCCCGTACGGCTGCCTCCGGCGAGTAACTGCCCTACTTCCTGCCCTGGGATATTCGTGGCTGTCTGCAGTATTATGTATTACGCAATTCATCCGACTCCTTGCAAGTAGGCCTATGGAACATGTACTTGTAATCTTGCACCTGCAACCGCATCACAGACTGACTAAACTAAGTCGCATTCGCTGCTATACAAGGGTGGGTAGGTGAACTCCCGCGCAACAGCCTAGCAACGAAAGGCTTTGCCACGCTACCTGCGATCCATTTCACTCCCCCCTCGACGTGTACAGGAAGTCTGTGACGGCCTTTGTACGACCGTCCAAGAGCTCCTGTCCAAAGAAACAATTCCCCAAGATGCCTTCGGCAACGCCCGCTCGAACTACGCTGCCACCGCTGTCTTCGAAACTGTCGGTGTCGACCGGCGCATGCCAATCATCTCGCACTCCGTGCGAAACTGCGCCGGGTTCAGCGCCTTGGTATAGACGTTGCCCTTTTGCTTGCTGCTCTCGGTGTACTCCACGCTGCACTTCTGCTCCTCGTCGGCAAAGATCTCGTGAAGAAACCCAATTGCTATGCGGTGCGTTCTGTGCAAGCACCGCAGCCGTTTGGAGTACCCTTTTTCCACTGCCGCGATAGCCTGGCAACTGTCTACCTTACAAATCAAAGGAATCCTCACTCCGATCATCTCCTGAACGAGGTCCTGCACAGGCATGGCCACGTGGCGCACGCCGTGGCTGAGGCTGACCACCTCGCTCTCGGCCGTGCTGTTCGACGTCGCCGTTCGGCCGCTCGACCTCCAGGCGATGGGAAACTCGTTCCCCGAGGCCTCACCCACAAGCTCCAAATGCAATCCGTTGACGCCCTTCGTGCTGCACGCGGCCCCGTTCCAGTCGGCATCCGTCGAGGGCTCAAGGCGGAGCCCGTCCAGGTCGCTCGGCGCGAGCGTTCCTACCAGCTCCTGCGACGCCTCCGATTGGATGTACGACAGAAGCCGCACGAGCGCGACGTCGTCCGGCACTGTCCACCTCGCCACCCTCGTCGTCAACCGGCGCATCGCAGTGGACAGGTCAGGGCGACCAACCAGGGACGCGAACAAGCAGCTGGCGACGCAGCTCGCTGCATGGGGCTGGAACTTGCCTGGCTCCTCACTGGGGTCAGACCACTGCTGCTCCGCGGGGTACGGCGAAGCCACCTTGTGCAACGCGGCGTCGGGGTAGCCGTCCAAAAACTTCCTTACCAAGGCAAGCAGAGAGTCCTCCATGCTAACAGCCATGCTCCGGGCGGCGCCAGGGCGCGTGGCCGAGTACTCGTCGAACCTGTAGTTGGCGCCGAGGTACCTAAGCAAGGGCGCAGCCTCCTCCTTGAAGAGGATGTGCTCTCCCAGTTCGTGCCAGCGCACCCACGCGAGCTCGATCGCGGCAACCATCATAAAATCATCGACGTACAAGCAGAGCACCGACATATCGACGTGGACGAAAACCCCGTTCCAAGAGTCGATCTTGCGCCAGCGCATGCGCACTAAGATGGTCTCCGCGTGGTCTTCCCAAACGTTGCCCGACTTCGGGTGCCCGGGCAGAGCGCGTCCCAGGGGCACCGCCGGCCTGCGATACTTTGGCACCGTCATCGCGTCATCCTCGTACCACTCCCGTGGCCGCCACGCCCTCGGCAGTTCGACCAAATCGACGATGCTCGGATCCTTGTCGAGAAGCGCTTGTAAGAAGGCATCGGTGGCGTCGCGGTACGTGGCCGACATGCGTTTTAGCTGACCGATCGCCATCGCAGTCCCTGCAGCTGTCAGCGACGATGGCGAGTTCGAGACCTCATCGAAAATCTCGTACACCGTCTTGCCGGACCTCGACCAGATGTTGTTGCCCCGGCACACGGCCCTGGCGCGGCACTTCCACTCCGTCTGTGCCAGCTCCGAGAACTTCACGCCCAGCACGATGAACGCGCGTCCCACCAGCACCTCGGCGAACGACTCGTCCTTCATCCACTCGGACAGGTCCCTGACGCGAGACAGGTCCCACGTGCCCCGCTCCGTGTGCGAGGCGATCTCCTTGGCCGCCGCTGCCTTGGCCTCCTGGGCCTGGCCCTCCGCCGAGCGGACGGAGACAGCGCGAGTGACCATCGCACACCACAGCGGCATCCGGGGCTTACCCAAAGGAAGAACTTGACCTACCGCGCGTACCGGGACAGCGGGCATCGCCTTGAGCTCGGCAGGGCGCAGCGCCCTCCAGACGAGCTGAGCGAAGAGAGGCGCGTAGCGCGCGCGGCCCGTGCAGACCTTGCCACAGCACTGCTCGGACCCCTCGGCCACAAGGTGCGAGGGGTCATTTTCATAAGGCCTGAAGACCTCCACGAGCCTGGGCCTCGTCGTCTCGATCCTCCATCGTTGTCGCACGCAAAACGATCCTTCTCCTCCTTCTCCTCGACGTTCCCCTTCCTCGATGATATGGTTGACGGCCGCAGCCGAGACCGTGCACGCGGCGGTCTCGCACTTCCGGAACAACACCTGCACAGCATCCAGATCCCAGAGATCACTGCCATAACTCCACTCCCAAGTGAAGCCGCCACCGATCTTGAACTCGCGCCTGCAGAGAGCGACCGCCGCGTCCACCGCGCGCAGGCGAGGTCCAAGTTCCCGGTCTCGACGTCCATGAGCCCGCTGGCCCGCCTCAACGGCGAGTCGGCCGTGCACGGGATGGACGCCCAGACGTCCAGGATGATGTCGTACAGCTGGCATATACGCACAAGTCGATGTAGAGCACGCCTCGTGGTCCTCTGCGCGAGGTCGTCTTGCACAGCGACTTGGACCGCGATCGAGTGGCCCACCACCGCCGCGGCCAGCTCCGAATCAGGCGCACAGCATAACTCGAGCAACATATGCCCGTGAATTCCAATCATAATTAGAGCTCGCGCTTGCTGCACGAGTCTCCACAGTGGCCTCGCGGCGGCGAGCACGCTGAGCCGGAATACTACGATCGTCGCTGGTGCCTGGCGCTCCAGGGCCACCACTCGCTGCAGCATCGCGGTTAATTACGCGAGCAGGTGCAGCGCGAGGAATCGCGGCGCGTCCATCGCCGCTGTTGGGCGCCGATCCGGCGAGCTCGCCCCTCCCGGCCACGGCCCCGCAGGCGACCACACCTCCTCGCTTGGCTCGCCTCCATGACGAGCGCTTGCGCGGCGAAAGATACAGGGTCGTCGGCCCGCCACTTCTCCCGGAGCACCTTCTGGGCCGGGCGGCCGATAATCAACCACACTTCAGGCTCGCAGGAAGGAGGTCGTAAACTCCACGGCGGAGTGCTGACCAATCGAACCTTCCCTGCTCCCTGCGGGAATCGATCAACCCGCCATCCGGCAGGCGGGGCCCCTCCTGGGGCGACGTGCACTTCTGATGCCACTGCTTCGTGAAGATCCCCCTCCCCCTTCCGGTCCGCGTCCACAGCGGGGGAATCAACAGCTGGAGCATCGACTGCAACGCCGACGTCGCCCTTGACCGCGTTGTCGTCGAAGTCACCGTCCAAGGCCATCACGTTGTCGAGCGTGTCCTTCACCTCGAAGATCGCGGCGTTCTCGTTCCAGTCGCCGTCCGCGATGCCGGCCTCGTCATCGTCGTCTTCCTTGGCCTCGACTAAGTTCCACGAATCGTCCCCGGGGGCCACCTCTGGAGTCGGCAGGGCGCGGTCAGCAACCGCTCCATGGACCATCAGCCGCTGACGAAGAGGGAAAGATACAACGTCAGGAGATACGACATCGACCCCCCTCTGAATATGAACTGTGGAAGGCCGCCTGGCACTAGTGAAACGGGCAAGCGGGATGAAGCCATAGCTGCGACCCCAAATCCCGCCTGCCCCAACGGTATCCTCCATCAAGATGCAGGGTGCGAGGCCTCGAGCGCCACCGGTCGCTCGTCTCGTCGTCTGCGCTGATAGGCTTGTGCAGGTGGACGAGCACGAGCGCGCCCCACGGGTACATGCGGGAAGGGGCGTCCTCGCCGTGCCAGCACCGGTAGGGCGCGAGCCCGTCGCGGCCCTTCATGTGCCCGTTCCACATCGCCACCCAATACAGCATGCAGATTGCCCACCACGACTCGGGAAACCCCGCCTGGAGCAAAGATGCGCGAGTCCCCTCCGAAGCCGTCCGGTTCGTTCGCTCCGCCTTCGAAGCATGGCGGTGCGGGACCGACACGAAGCGGGCGAAAGGTCGAATCGACCTGATCGCCTTGCTCGCCGCCAGGAACTCCTCCGAGCGATCGGAGAAGAGGCGGCGAATGACCAGGACGGGGTCGTCGAAGAAGTAGATGGCCTGCACCACGTCTGTGGACCTTTTGTGCTTCGCAGATGACGCGCCCAGGAAGTCCGTCTCCTGGTCCGTCAGCATCAAGGCCCTCGGGGTGACCTTATAGGCAACGCTGCCGAACTGCATCTCCAGCGAGTCGATATGGGCCAAAGCTCCGAAAGGATCCACGGCCGCGTCAAGCCCGGTCAGGCCAAGGCTCGGCCGAGCCGAGGCCAGCGCTCGCACTTGCGCAGCGCCTTTCCATGGTCACAGCCATAGCAGCCAGGGATCCGCGGGAGGTGCATCGCCTGATGGGCGATGGAGTGGGGGCCCAAGTACGGCGTGCAATAATGCTCGTCCTCGTACTCCACCTCGTCCTTCGTCAGGCTGACGGTCGTGTCCTTCGCGATCTCGTCGCTGGCCGCCGCGCGCTACGCGTCGTCGTCGCCCACGACCCGCTCAATGTCCTCCAGCAGCTCCCGAATATCCGAATTCGGGCCGGCCCCCCTGCGAGCCAGGTCCACAACAGAGACATCACCAGGCACGCCTGGACCAAGATCGCCATCGCCCAGTGCCGGAACACCGTCTCCAGCGCGCAACTCCGCAGCGCCATCGTGGCCAGCACTGGCACCCCCGACGGCCAGCATCGCTCTGCGCTGCCTCGCCCTCCAGATGATCGGGACGAAGTGCTCGTCGGCGTGGCAATCGATCGGGGCGCCGTCGGGGGCGAGGATCTCCGGCTTGGCAAGCCAAGGATGCCAGTAGAAGCCGTAGCCTTGCAGTGCGCAGCGCCTACCAGCGGAGAGCGCGTTAGGCGAGCCAGGGAGCACGGCCGCCTCGACCGTGCCAGCGATCTCCGGCATCGGCGCGACCACGGACTCAGCTGACCGGACAACCCCGCCAGCGCTCAAAATGGGCGGGGCCGTCGAGAAGTCCCTCTTGCCGTCGACGTCCTCGTTGGCCACGTCCAAAGCTGCGTTAAGTGAGATACGCGTGCACCCAACGGAGGGAGGGGAGGAGGAGAGGAGGAGACAGGGACGGAGGGGAGATATTTTACTCATGGCAGCGTGGCGACGCGCACCTCCACCCGGGCACGGACCCCGGCGGTCCACGCCCGGCGCGCGTGCGTGGGCCCTGACGGCCCACGCGCTCGCGCTCTGGCACGCGCCCGCGTCCCAGATCCACTCCTCGAACTCGTCGTCGCACGTCGGCCGAGCGACCGACAGCATCACCTGCTTCGGAGCGCCTCCGAGGACAGCGCCAGCTCCACCACCTCCAGCACCGTGCTTCTCTCCGTCCGCGGCCCGCCTCTGAGCCTCCAGGTCGCCCTTCGACGGCTCCTCCTTGCCGCGCGTGAGCATGCAGTCCTTGCCCTTCTTGCACTTCTCTTTCAAGAAGAAGCCGCACTTCTGAATGCGTCCCTTGGGAACGCCCCCGAAGCAGCCGCACCAAATTGTTCATTATCCTGGCTGCCCTTCACCTTGCCCTTGCCCGCTGCCGCGTCCGCGCCCTTCTGCTTCGGCGCGGCCTTCGGGTCGTGCGTGTACTTGCACGCGGCACCGCGCTTGCACTCGCCTCGGATCCAGCCGAAGCATGGCCCCGCCACGGGAGGCCCCTTTGGCAGCACAGGTGCCGCGGAGGCCGACTTCGTCAACGATGTCCTCATGGCCTCGCGGTCAATCCTGAAGAGGCAAGTGCGCGCACACCTGTACAAGAACTCGACGGACTTCTCCGGCGAGCCCGGGGCCGCGCGATCGAAGATGTCGAAATCCACGGCCAGCCATACGTACGCCTTCGCCTCGGCCGCCTTGCGCAGTGTCCAAGGCGTCCAGGTAGAGGCCGAGATCGTTGGTGTACGTATGCCCCATGAGCCGGGACAGCCCGACCTGCTGCATGGCCCCCGCCTCCACGTCGTACTTCCGAAGGATGAACCACAGCGCAACTCTGCCCGAGACGTCGTTGCCGAGCTTCAGCCGCCCGTCCCGGCACATCTTCATCTTGCGAAGCGTCTCCCCGCTGGCGAAACGGAAGCACGCAGACGACAGCTCGGCGTCGAATCACTCCCACTTTCGCGTCACCTTTTCAAGGGACAGGTGAGACTTGGCCACCTCGACCGTCTTCAGAAACCTCATCGTCCTCCTCCGGCCCCGATTCGAGGCGGCGCAGCACGTGACATATAATTCATTGAGCCACGTCTGGAAGCCCAGGCCTGTAGGGGCCTTCCCCAAGTCGATCGTCTTCACCGCAGTTCGCCGCCGCTCCGTCTTATCGCCGATGGACTCCACCTCGGAGTCGTCGTCGTCGGGGGCGATGTGGAACGTCTGGGCGCCACAGAGGACGGCGCGCTGCTGACCCCCCAACGGCTCCGCGGCGCTTGCGCCCTGGGCCAAAGAACGCACCCGGAAGGGATCGGCCGATGACTTCATTCGCAGGGCGCCCGGCGCCGAGGTCGCCACTTCAGGCTGGCCAGCGGCACGGCTGAGCGAAGCCTCAGTCTTGCCATCCTGCCGTCCTCGTCCCGCACCTCTCCCGTCGAAAACGTCCGGAAGGGGAGGAGGAGGCGAGACATGGGCGAGAGAACCGGGTCTAAGCTGCTGCTGCCGCTGCTGCTGCTGCATCTCCCCCCTGAGCTGCGCGACCAGGAACTCCTCGTGCTCCGCCACCGCTTCCGCGTTCTCGACGATGTTCTGCTCGGTCTCCAGGACGTGCTGCGTGCCCTCCGTGAACCGCTGGACGAAGTCGTCAACCTGGCCTTGCATGCAGAGGGCAGTGGCACGCAGCTCGGCCGCCTCGAACTCCTCATGCTCCAGGCGGTCTCCAGCAGCACGAAGGCGAGCCCGAAGATCCATCGACTGGGCCTCCTCGGCCTCAAGGCGGCTCCGAAGGTCAAGAACTCGATCCCGCCCTTCGCCGCCAGCGTGGGCGCGGGCGCCCTCGAGGGCTGTCTGCTCCGCCAGCCGGCACTGGGAGACGGCAATATCCCTCTCTGCAGTCGCCTGGCCCCGCAAGCTCACGATCTCCAGGCGCAGGGCCTTGCTGACCTGAGCCTCATAGGCCCTAGGCACGAGCGCGCGCGAGCTCATGCTCGTCGCTCGCATGCCTCGTCGCGGCAGCCAGCTCGGCTTCGGCGAGCTCCCCGCGCGACCTCTCGCGCAACCCGGCGGCGAAGAGCTGGCAGTGTTCGTGGGCGTGCTGCTCCACCTGGCGCACGCACTCCGCGAACTGCAGCTCGAAGTGGTCGCGGACGGTGGCCGCGTGGTTTTCCACGCTGTCCTGCCTGCCAGCCTGGAGCTCCAGCGCGTAGGAGTCCATCTCCTGCCGGACCTGCAGTGTGGAGTCGGCCTGGCGGGCCTCCAAGGCAGCGCGCTCGCGCACCGCGAGCTGGTCCGCGCTGGCGGTGACCTCATCCAGCGCACGGGCCGCCTCCAGGCGGCATGTCTCCACCTCGATCCGCGCACGGTGTGTCACCGCGCCCTCGTGCTCTGCCAGTGCGCGCACCAGGCGCCCTTCAGCCCGAGCCTCGAAGGCCTGCTCGAACTGCATCGCTTGCTGGCGCAGCTGGGCCTCCTCCTCGTGCAAGTCGATCATCGCGCCGAGGGCCACGGAGAGGTCCATCGTCAGATCCCCTTCCTGTCCTGCATCGGGCGCCGCCGCCGGAGGAAGAGGAACAAGTTGCTGTGCCTGCACTGCCGGCTGCGTCTGGGCAGGCGCCGGCAAAGGTGCCGGGCCCAGCGCCGCTGGCCTCAGCGGTACGCCTGGGACAGCTGGGAACGTCAAGGCAGGAATGCCCGCCATTGAGCTGCTCAAGGCTCTTAACCAGTGGCTTGCCCGTCCCAGCCTCCCCAGCAACTGCCTCCAAATGTCTGATGGCGATTGCGGCCGGTACTGGGTACGAGTCCCCCTTGTCGTAGGGTATGCCAAGTGCATCGCAGATCAGTGAGTGGACAGTCGTACGCAGACGCTTCTCGAAGCGCGCGACCTCACTCTCGAACTTTCGTTTTTCGGGCATGTCGGCCACCGCACGTCAGTTCGCTTGAGCCAAAAAGTTAAGGACGTATTGCACAGCTGAGGTGTTGCCACGCTCAGCCTAGAAGAAATGAGGTGTCGCCACGCTCATTTCTGCGAAGGCGCAAACACTACAGTGCTGCTGCTTCCTATGAGTTTGGCCCAGGAGGAAGCTTTGCCCTATGGGTCCCGTACGCCTGCCTCCGGCGAATAACTGCCCTAATTCCTGCCCTGGGATATTCGTGGCTGTCTGCAGTATGATGTATTACGCAATTCATCCGATTACTTGCAAGTAGGCCTATGAAACATGTACTTGCAATCTTGCACATGCAACCGCATCACGGACTGACTAAACTAAGTCGTACTCGCTGCTATACAAGGGTGAGTAGGTGAACTCCCGCGCAACAGCCTAGCAACGAACGGCTTTGCCACACTACCTGCGATCCATTTCACTCCTCCCCCACATACGCACCCATTCCTTTACCGGTTCTCCCTCCTCCTCCTCCTCCTCCTCCTCCTCCTCCTCCTCCTCCTCCTGCTCCTCCTCCTCCTCCGCCTCGTCGTCCTCCTCCTCCTCCTGATCCTCCTCCTTTTCCTCCTTGTCCTCTCATGCCTCTTGTTATTCTTACTAACAGTATTGTTAATATTGCTGTTCTAAGTGTGAGTAATATTATGTGTCTTCCAACTGGTGGTAGTATCAATAGTGTTCTTGTTCTTCTTCTTATTATTATTGAGTGTCATCACTATTCTTTCTATTTTTTAGAATTACTACGATTAGTATTATTATTCGTACTATGCTCCTGACTATTCTTGGTAATATTATCATTTGTCATTTTCGTAATATTGTTACTAGCATTATGAGTAATTGCGTATTCCTCCTCTTCCTCCTTCTCCTCATACTCCTCCTCCTCCTCCTCCCCCTCCTCCTCCTCCTCCTCCTCCTCCTCCTCCTCATCCACCACACCCTCTTCATCATCCTCATCCTCCTCCTCCCCCTCCTCCACCGCATCGTCATTCTCATCATCATCATCATCATCATCATCATCAGCAGCAGCAGCATCATCATCCCCATCATAGTCATCAGCATCAGCATCAGCAACAGCAGCAGCATCAAAATCATCATCATCAGCAGCAGCATCATCATCATCAGCATCAGCATCAGCATCAGCATCAGCATCAGCCTCCTCCTCATCATCATCATCATCATCATCATCATCATCATCATCATCGTCGTCGTCGTCGTCGACATCATCATCATCAGCACCATCATCGTCATCATCATCAGCATCATCAGCATCATCATCATCATCATCGTCAGCATCATCATCATCGTCGTCATCATCATCAGCATGAGCATCAGCAGCATCATCATCAGCATAATCATCATCACAATCCTTGCCCTACTCCTCCTCCTTCTCCTCCTATTACTCATCATCCTCCTCCTCCTCAACCTCCTCGTCGTCCTCCTCCTCCGCCTCCTCATCATCATCCTTCGCCTCCGCCATCATCATCATCATCCATCATCATCATCATCATCATCATCATCATCATCATCATCATCATCATCATCATCATCATCATCATCATCATCATCATCATCATCATCATCATCATCATCATCATCATCATCATCATCATCATCATCATCATCATCATCATCATCATCATCATCATCATCATCATCATCATCATCATCATCATCATCATCATCATCATCATCATCATCATCATCATCATAATCATCATCATCATCATCATCATCATCATCATCATCATCATCATCAGCATCATTATCATTATCAGCATCATCATCATAAGCATCATCATCATATTCAGCAGCATCATCACAAGCAGCCTCAGCATCATCATGATTATCATCATCATCATCAGCATCATCATCATCGTCATCAGCATCATCATTCTCAGGATCATCATCATCATCATCATCATCATCATCATCATCATCATCATCATTATCAGCATGATCATTAGCATCACCATCATCAGCATCAGCATAAGTATCATCATCAGCATCATCATCATCATTGTCATCGTCCTCATCATCATCAGCAGTAACAGCATCATTATCATCATCGTCGTGATCATCCTCATCGTTATCATCAGCGTCATAAACATCAGCAGCATCATCATCGGCATCTTCAGAATTATCATCAGCATCATCAGCATCATCATCAGCATAAGTATCATCAGCCTCATCCTCATCCTCAGCATCAGCATCAGCATCAGCATCGTCATCATCATCATCATCATCATCATCAGCATCATCATCATCATCATCATCATCATCATCGTCGTCATTATCGTTATCATCAGCATCAGCATCATCATCAGCAGCGTCATCACCATCAGCATCAGCATCGGCATCAGCATCGTCATCATCCTCATCATCATCATCAGCAGCATCAGCATCATCAGCACCATCATCAGCATCATCAGCATCATCATCAGCATCATCAGCATCATCAGCATCATCATCAACGGTATCATCATCATCAGCAGCATGCTCATCATCATCCTCAGAATCGTCATCATCAGCATCATCACCATCAGCATCAGCATCATCAGCGTCTGCATAGGCATCATGTTCATCATCATCAGCAGCATCATCATCAGCAACAGCATCATCATTATCATTTGCATCATCAGCATCGTCATCATCATCATCATCATCATCATCATCATCATCATCAGCGTCATCTTCAGAATCAGCATCAGCATTATCGTCATAATCATCATCATCATCATCATCATCATCATCATCATCATCATCACCATCATCATCATCATCATCATCATCATCATCATCATCATCATCATCATCATCATCATCATCATCATCATCATCATCATCATCATCATCATTTTTATCATCATCAGCGGCATCATCAGCAGCATTATCATCAATGTCATCATCGTCATCAACAGCATCATCAGCAGCAGCAGCAGCACCATCAGCATCAGCAGCATCATCAGTATAGTCAACATCATCACCGTCGTCGTCATCATCGTCCTCCTCATCATCAGCATCATCGTCGGCATCAACATCAGCATGATCATTATCATCATCATCACCATCATCATCATCATTATCATCATCATCATCATCATCATCATCATCATCATCATCATCATCATCAACGTCATCATAAGCAGCATCATCAGCATCATTATCATCATCATCTTCATCCCCCTCCCACTTCCCCTCCTCCTCCTCGTCCTCCTCCTTCTCCTCCTCCTCCTCCTCCTCCCCCTCATCCTCCTCCTCCTCCTCCTCCTCCTCCATCCTCGCCTTCCTCTCTTGGCCTCCCTCGCCTCCCCCCACCGTCCATCCCCCCTCCTGCTCTGCTGGGATCTCTTCGGTTCCTGATCAGATCGTCTTCCAAAACTACTCCGGTTCCTACCCATACACACACACGAGATCACATATACAGCGTGATGGTGCAGAGCCAAGGGTATACCGACTGATGGTTTCCCCAGACAGCCTTCAAGGTCGTGGGCATGCGCCCGAAGCGGATGAGCGCCTTGACGAGGGACACAGACCGCAAAGTCCTCATCACGCGTAGTGACCTGGCAGAGAAAACTGCTGGAGGGCACAACAGATGTCAACAGGGGAGACGAGGAGGAAATGAATAAAGAATAATAGAGATGAATCCACACAAGTGACTACATGTATCAACAAGGGGGTGAATAGCTATACACAAATTTACATGTTACATCTGTATATATGTGTGAAACGTCATGTGCATGCATGAAAACAGAGAGGGGAAGATAACGAGACAGAGAGAGACACACACACACACACACACACACACACACACACACACACGCGCACACACGCGCACACACACACAAACAAACATATATATATATATATACAAACACGCACACACACACGCGCGCGCACGCACGCATGCTCACAAACACACACACACACACACTTGTTGAAGTCGCGGCCTCGCCGGCACCGTCGAGGCGGAGTAAAAACACACACACACAACACACACACGCACAGACACACACACACACATATAGATATACACATATATATATATATATATATATATATATATATATGCATACATACAAACAGGCGGTAGCGGCCTCGCGCGAAGCGACGAGGCGAAGGAAGTGCCAGGGTCAGAACAGCGCGCGCGGCGGCCCGATCCTCAAGATCGCTTGGGACGCAAGCCAACCAGCATCGGCCACCTGGGCGTAGATGGCAATAGTCTTCCAAGAAGCGCCCAAGAAGCACAGGAGGCCCTCGGGAACTCCTGAAAGGCCTCAAAGATGACCCGAGCGGGCATACGAAAGCCCCCAAGCGAAGCTCTAAGAAGCTCCAAGAGAGCCACCAGACTCCCGACATTAACAACACAAGTGTTGAGTCGCAGCGGCGAGAATCCTAGCCGCGTTCTGAAGCAGACGTGGCGTGCACGTGGCCGCATTGGGCACGGAGGGCGGCAAGGGGGAGGAGAGCGCGCGGAAAAGGGGAAGGAGCACGCTGAGAGCATGCAGTCCATCAGCGTGGATACCAGAGTGTTTGCACCGCGGAGAGGTGGAAGTCCTTGTAGGAGAATGGAGCTCGAAGACGGCAGAACTAGGAGAACAAACAATGACAGAAACATAAAAACTCGGAGGTCCGCGCGGATTGCTCGGATCGGCGCTGGACCCCCCTCCCTGGCGCGCGGAGCGCGACAGGAGCGGTGCCAGAGGTGCCGGCAGGGCGGTCCAGCGCCGATCCGAGAAATCCGCGCGGACCTCCGAGTTTTTATGTTTATGTCATTGTTCGTTCCCCGGAGAACAATAACGAAACAGATCACTGGTGTTTCAGACCTCCCCGCCGGGCGCGGGGCGGGGGGTGCGGGACCGCACGACGCGGGCGGAGCTGGTGCCCTGCTTCTCGGTGCCTCGCAGCGGGCGCCACGCCGGGAGGGGGGGAGGACGAGAGGAAAAGGGGCAGGTCGGGCTGGAGGGAAGGCAGAGGAGGGGGATGACTGCGAGAGGAAACGAAGGTGGAAATGCACAAGGGGGGAGGAGGAGAAGGACGGATCCAGAGGAGGAGGAGGAGGAGGAGGAGGAAGAGGAAGGAGAAGGGGGTGGAGAGGAAGGGGGAGGAGAGTGATGAGAAGGAGGAGGAGGAGGAGGAGGAGCAGCAGGAGGGGAAGGGAGAGGAGGAGCAGGAGGAGGAGCAGAATTCGAATGGGAGGAGTAAGGAGAGCAGTGAAAAAGTCTGGAAGAGGAAGAAGAGACGGAGTAAGATGAGAGGAAAGAGAAACCAACAGCATGCAGGATTGAGGTCGGAGGTTGGAAGCAAGAGGAGGAAGAGGAAGAGGAGGGGCAGGATGAGCAGCAACAGCATGTGGTGGGGAGGCAGAACGGCAGGAGGATGGGGATGAGGAGCAGGAGGATGAGGAAAAGGACGAGGTGGAAGAGGACGACGAGGACGAGAACACGGCAACTCCCTCTCTGGCCCCGCAGCCTTGCGCGCTTAGGGCCGCGAAGGCGATCCAGTCGGCGATGAGCAGCGTCAAGTCCATGGGCATCCACCTGCCGTGCGACCGCGAAGGCTGCGTGATGATGGCGGTCCAGGCCCCCAAAGAGGGAGCAGGAGAGTAGGATAACGAGACGGAGGAGGAGGAGGAAGAGGAGGAGGAGGAGGAGACTAGAGTAGAGGAGGGAGAGGAGAACGAGGAGGAGGAGGCGGAGGACGACGACGACGACGAGGTGGGGATGGCGGAGATGGAGGAAGAGAACAGAAGACAGGGGACAGAAGAGGAGGGATGAAGGAGGAGCAGCAACAGCAGGAGGACGACGAGGACGAGGAGAAAGACAGGAGTGGACGGAGGAAGAGGAGGGGGAAGGGAAGGAGGAGCAGCAGCAGCAGGAAAGGGAGGAAGGGGAAGTAGTGGAGAGGAGTGCGGAGGCGCGGCGCCAGGGGTGGACAGGAGCCTACTCCTTCTCCTTTTCCTCCTCCTCCTTCTCCTCCTCCTCCTCCTTCTCCTCTTCCTCCTCCTCCTCCTCCTCTTCCTCCTCCTCCCCCTCCTCCTGGGAGGAGTGGGGAAGGGAAGCGCCTCTGCCATGGAGCGCTGTACTGCAAACGACTGGAAGACTGCAACCCGACACTGTGGCGAGTCGAAACAGCAGCGGGTACGGCTGGAGAGTCGGCCCCGGGCAAGAGCGACCCTGGGCAAGAGTGACACCTGTGGTGCGCGGCTCTAAGGGGGGCGAGGGGAAGCCAAATCCAAGCACGCATGCCAATGCTGGGGAGACCCTTGTGAGCCCGCACAAATGGTCACTCCGACGAAGGGTCACTCTTACACGCTGGTCGGAAGAAGTAGGTAAAAGCATGAAGTAGGAAAACGGATGAAGTAGATTGGGTTCAGGCCCTCCCAAACAACAACAAAACACATCAAAACCACGCCGAATCTTGAAGTAGGAAGACGCTAGAAGCAGATCGGGATCTGGGAATCCGGAAGGACCTACTCTCGACGACCGACGGGCCCGCTTTGCCGAGAGGGAAGCACGAGAATGATGCATGCCGGCGGAGGCGGCCCCCCCGCAGAGCAGGGACCACCAGGGCAAGGGACTTGAGGGGCAGGAGAGCGCCGCAGCGGCGGCACGGAGAGGCAGCAGGAGGCGCAGGAGCAGGAGGAGCAGCGCGGCTCGAGGCCGCCACTGCCCACCTGTCCGTGCCACTCGGCCCGTACGGCGAGGGCTGACGTTGGCTGTGCCGCTCCTCTGTCCTTCCCTCCTGCAGGGCCAGCCAAAGAAAGGCGTCGGGGTGGTCAAACGCCTCGCCAGTGAAGCGGACGAAGACGTGCAGAGTCCAACCGTTCGCCTGCGTCCAGAGTTTTAGCCTGGCGCCAGGTATGGTCCGTCAATTTTTAGCTTGACCGGACAGGTTGGTTGCACCCCTTGACGTCCGTTTGGGGTGTTCTGCAGACCTGACCCTCCAGCCCTGCTCTTGCCGTCTCTCTCTCTCTCTCTCTCTCTCTCTATCCCTACGCATGCACTGCCGTCGCATGTCAAGGACACCACAGACGCGCGTCTCCAGGGCTGTGGGAAGAAGAAGCGGGAGGGTCGGTGGCAGCTTCAATTGGAGGCGGCCAGGGGGTCTGAACTAGATGGGCCCCGCGAAAATCGGCCAAGAAGGGAGAACATAAGGGCAAATCCGCTCAAAGTCGGTCCCCAGACCCTTCCCAGAGCCCATCTGGGCCCGAGAATAATCCCGGGAGAACGAACGAGGCAAAAAAACTTTCCGAACCCAGAACCACGAACCCATCCCCCACCCCTCCTGCTGGCCAGAACAAATGCTGGGCCACCTCAGACCCCTAGCCGGCTCCAAAGCTGAAGGCCGATCCTCTTAAGGGGGAAGCTCCCACGTCCTAGCGTACTTCGCCGCCGTCTTCCGAAGGCGCATCTCGCAGATACCGCGCTCGTAGTAGCCCACGAAAAAGTTGAGGATGAAGTCCACGGTCCTCCCCGCTGGGGCCACGCGGTGGACGCGGCGCAACTGCGCTGTTCCTGCCGCCGCCGCTCCTGCTGCCAGTGCTCCTGCTGCTGCTGTTCCTGCTATTCCTGCTGCTGCTCTCCAGCTACTGCTCCTGATCCTGATCATCCTCCTTCTCCTCCTCCTCCTCCCCCTCCTCCTCATCCTCCTTGTACGAAAATTAATATTACTACTATGATTGTTATCTTCCTCCTCCTCCTCGTCCACCTCCTCCTTATCGTCATCAGAGTCATCATCAGCAGCATCACCATCAACATCATCATCACCAATGTCATCATCATCATCATCATCATCGTCATCATCATCATCATCATCATCATCATCATCATCATCATCATCACCACCATCATCATCATCATCATCATCATCATCACCATCATCACCATCACCATCACCATCAACAGCAACAACAATCTTAACATCATAATAATCACCACCACCGTCATCATCAGCATCACCACCACAACCACCACAACCATCATCTCCACCGCCACCACCACCAACATCATCATCGTCAGCAGCATCATCATGTTCATCATCGTCAGCATCAGCATCAGCATCAATATCATCGTCACCAGCATCAGCATCATCATCATAATCCCGCTCATGTCTCCCAGTGCTGTTCGTGGTCTCTGTCCTTCTGCTCTACGTCGTCCTCCTCGTCCATCTCAGCATCGGCTGTAGCATCCCCCACTTCCTCCCCTCTGGCGTTTCTGACGTTTCTCGCTACACAGCGTCTTAGGCTGAGCCCAGGCTGGGGCCCCCCGCAGGCCTATTGCCCGCGGCGCGGCACGAGGGGGGCGACGGCGGTCGGCCCCTGGCGCGCGGCGGGGGCGGGGGGGGGGCCTCCTCAGCCCGTGGCTTACTTCCTCCCCCTCATCATCGACCCCGTCGACCCTGCGTCCCCTAAAAGTCGTCTATCCTCCTCGCGCCACCACACGGGTCAGTAGGGCGGACCAAGCGTTGCACTGCGTGGAGGAGGAGGAGGAGGAGGAGGAGGAGGAGGAGGAGGAGGAGAAGGGCGAGGAGGAGGATCAGCAGGACGAGGAGCAGGAGGATGATGACGAGGGGGAAGCAGGGAGGAAGCAGGGAGGAGGGAGCAGGGAGGAGGGAGCAGGGATGAGAAGGAGCAGGAGGGAGAAGGAAGGGTGGGGGGGAGTAAGTAGGAGGACGCAGAGAGAGGAGGGAGGTTAAAGGGAAGACGGAGGACGAAGCAGCAGCAGCATCAGCAAGGGCCGCTCCAGAAGCTCGACACCAAGGCGCTCATCACGATGGCGAGGTCCTCCCAGAACAGCCAGGGCGGCCCCGGGGGGGCACACGCGAGACGCGACAGTCATACAGGGAGAAGCGGAGGCGGAGGAGACAAGGAGGTAGTGGGAAGGAAGCGGTGGTGGGGGGGGAGGGGAGAAGGAGGAGGAGGAGGAAGGAAGAGGGGAGGGGAGGGGAGGCAAGGAGGAGGAAGGATTAATTGGGAGGAGTAGGAAGGGAGAGGGGGAGTGGGGACAGAGGGAAGAGAGGGAGGTCCACGGAGAGGGGCAAGACCTCGAAGACACCTCAAAGACAATAGCCGCTTCGGGCGTCAACTCACCAAGCGCTGGCGCACAAGAGAAAGACAAGGAGAAGAGGTCGTACGACTCACGGGCACGGAGCCGCGAAGGGAAGATCCGACGGTGCATATTCAGAAGGTCATCGTCGGAGGGGTGAGAAGGCGGAGGACGGCGGAGACAAGCAGAACGAGGAGGATCAGGACAAGAGGGAGGAGTGGGCGGATGAGGAAGAGGACGAGGAAAGGGAAGGCGGGGATGGAGGAGGAGGAGGAAGAGGAGGAGGAGGAGGGGGAGGAGGAGGAGGAGAACGGCGACGGAGAGGACAGGGAGGAAAAGAAGCAGGAGGACGACGACGGCTAGGAGGACAGCAAAGACGAGGAGGACGCGGAAAACGATTAGGAGATGGAGGATGACGAGGACGATGAGAAGAATGAGGAGAAGGAGGAGAAGGAGGAGCAGGAGGAGAGGAGGAGGAGGAGGAGGAGGAGGAGGAGGAGGAGGAGGAGAATGGGCGATCAGGAGAACGACGATGGGGGTATGGGGAAGGGGGAATGGAGCAGGTCTTCACGCTCTTCTTCCCCCCTCCATCACTTCTGCCCACTCTTGGACCTCATATGTGCACCATGGCAGCTCTTCCCCTCAGCACAAGGTGGAGCTTCCTCCAACTGTTCAAGCTGAAACACGGCCATCGGCACGACGATGACGTCGTACACTATCATCACCATGCCTTCCCGAGGAGGGGGGACGAGGAGGGGCTAGAAGCGAGCTTGGGGGAGAAGAAAGGTGAGGACGACGAGAAAGGAGGAGGGAGAGGAGGGCAGGAAGGCCCGGCCTATCTGTCTGCGCCTTCCAGCCCTGAAGCCACGGCGAAAGAAGTGAAGAAGAGGCTTTGCAAAGTAGGCCACCCAAAACATCGACTGTCTGTGAGCCTGTGAGTGCGCTTCTGAGGAGGACATCATAATTGTCCATGCTCCACCTTTTCTTCGCTTCCCAATTGTCCACGTCATGAGTACCACCAGATTCATCCTCTACGTCATCGTCAACATCGCCAATATCAGCATCGGCATCATCAGCACCATTCCTGAGAATCCTCAACACCGTCATCAACAGCGGCATTGTCATCACCATCGTAACCGAGGACATCATCATCGTCATCATCATCATCATCATCATCATCATCATCATCATCATCATCATCATCATCATCATCATCATCATCACAACTCTTTTAAACCGAAAGACGTCTGCATCCCCTGAGCCTGTCACCACCATGCGCAGCAGGGAGAGCGTGAAGCAGGCGGCGGAATAGAAGGACAACGCAGAGCACGTAAAGCGGGGGCCAAAACAGGCCTCCACCCAGAGGTGCATCGAGAAGCCATGCAAGAGAGGCAACGCGCAGCGACACCATAATCGCCATCATCGTCGTCATCGCTATCGTCGCCTTCATCGTCGTCATCATCGTCGGCATCAACATCGACGCCTTTGTCGTCACCACCCTCGTCGTTCGTCTTCATCATAATCATCCTCGTCGTCATCGTCGTCTTTATCATGATCATCAGCATCGTCATCATCGTCGTCATCGCCCTCGTCGTCTTCATCGTCGTCATCATCGTCGTCGCCAACGTCGTCACCACCCTCGTCGTTCGTCTTCATCATAATCATCCTCGTCGTCATCGTCGTCTTTATCATGATCATCAGCATCGTAATCATCGTCGTCATCGCACTCGTCGTCATCATCGTCGCCATCGTCATCGTCTTCGTCGCCATCATCGTCGTCCTCGCTCTCGTCGACTTCACCGTCGTCACCACCGTCGTCATCAACATCACCTTACCATCCTCTCATAATCTCTCTCTCTCTCTTGAGCGCCAGAGCGCCCGCGGGGGGGAGGGGGGGGAAGAAGGGAGGGGGGGGGAGGGAGGGGAGGAGGGGCGAGGGAGGAGGGAGGAGGGAGCAGGAATGAGGGAGCCGGAAGGCAGGAGCGAGCTGATGGTGGGGAGGAAGAGGGGAAAGGGGAGGGAAACAGGGCGAGCAAGCGGGGGAGAGAAAGATGAGAAGGAGGAGGAAGAGGAAGAGGAGAACGAGGAGCAGACCTGACCCAGGATGTAAGAGCGATGCTGCAACCCACCATCCCGTCCCCAAGTCCCTCCCCATACGTCCCTGCACGCTTTCCTCTTCACTACAAGAAGCGCCCCCCTTGAGAGACCAGCACCACCTGGGTCTGCCATTTTGGAGAAGGCGCCGTTGTGAAAAGTTTGAGAGGGAGCTGCCTTGCACCCTGGCGTATAACCAAGGCTGCGACAAGTGTGACCGAACAAATCAACGAGGTGCCCAACGAGATCCCCCGTCCGCTTAAGGACCACTCCCTTCCGTGTAGCTGATGCACCTATTGACACGCGGCGGGTTCAAAGGACCAAAAAACCGTGCCATCTCTTGGGAGGCAGGTTTTTACTTCCGCCGAGCTGCCGCCGGTTTCCACAGGCGGAAGCGGCCTCGTTTTACTTCCGCCGCCTTCCGCCGACCTTCCGCAGCCTTCCGACGAGGAAAAGATAGCAATACCTTCGAATCGCGAAGGAAAAGCCCTTTGTCGAATACCTCACGCATGGCCATGAAATCCAAGGAAATCCCAAGCGAGAGCTCCAGGTTGAAAGGCTCGTCATCCATCCATAGAATAATACATGTGTTGAAGTTCCAGAACTTTCTAAGAGGGACAGGCTCCAGCGACAGCCCTATTTTGCAAAACCAAAAAGACTACATCGATCTAAGTGCTGCAAACTTTGGAGACGAACGCGAGCGGCGCTAAATCGAGAGCCCCACTCTATCAATTATTGTAACCACTGCGGACTATTACAACGAATGATATCCGCCAGACTGTCCTGATTCTCTCCACTTCGTCTCGTACGACGACAACGACGACGACGCCCAGCCGCTCCGACACACAGGCAGGCGATGTGCAGGGGCGACGTCGGGTGCATCACCATGGCCTACGGCATGGGGCACACTTGCACCACCACCACCTTGTGATATCCATCATCAACATCAAAATCATCATCATCATCCTCATAATCATCATCATCATCCGCATCACCATTATCATTATCATAATAACAATCATCATCATCATCATCATCATCATCATCATCATCATCATCATCATCATCAGCATCATCCTGATCACCATCATCATCATCATCATCATCATCATCATCGTCATCATCATCATCATCATCATCATCATCATCGTCGTCATCAACCTCACCATCATCATGACCATCGTCACCACCATCATCATCGTCGCCGTCGTCGTCATCGTCCACATCCTCCTCCTCCTCACCGTCATCATCGACAGCGTCGCCATCATCATGGACATAAGCGTAAGCGTAAGCATGAGAATCATCATAAGCATAAGGATAAGCATAAGCATGAGCATAAGCACAAGCATAAGCATAAGCATCAGAATAATCACAAGCATTATCATCATCTGTGTATAGTTATCCTCGATCTCAATCCTTCACTACTCATCCTCCATCCGCCAAATTTCTGCTTCACTCATCACTCCTGCCCCACAGTCATTCTCCCCACCCTCCTCGGTGACAGCATTTGTCCTCATCCATGTGACTTCGTTCATTGTTCATCCCTCCACCTCCTCCTTGATCGGCAGTCCTCATCTTCATTCGCTCGTCGCCGATCTCTGCATAACTCACGTACCATCTCTAATTCCCCTACTCCTGCTCATCCTCATCCCCCGCCTCATCCTCTTCCATTCCGTAGTAGCTTGCCAGCTGTTATGCTGAGCCCGCTGTCATGAACTAAACCTCCCGAGACGTTGGACAACAGATCGTGCACTTCCTAATTGCATCGCGATGCGATAACACAGGAGACGGGAGGCAAGAAACGAGAGACGAGGTACGTCATCATTATCCTCAGATTCTTCCTCATCCTCCACTTCTTAACTTGATACGGTCGTTGTACGGCGGCAAGCGCACATGCCAACGTGCTACGGCTACCATATCTGGTAAAGAGCGAGGGCAATGCGGCTAAAAAGCAGCTAGACGGGCACGCGACCGAATGGAGGAATGCACCATCCCAGATTGCCATCAACACCATCATCATCATCATCATCATCATCATCATCATCATCATCATCATCATCATCATCATCATCATCATCATCATCATCATCGCCAGCATCCTCGTCATCATCGTCATCGCCATCGCCCGTCCGTCCGTCTCTCCATCATCCCTTCTCCTTCTGCACTCTCGCCTCCTCCTACTTCTCCTTCGCCCTTCTCTTTCATCATCAGCATCATCATCAGCATCATCATCTGCATCCTCATCCTCATCACCATCATCATCAGCAGCAACAACATCAACCTCATTATCAGCATAGCGTTTCCATATTCTTAATCATCATCCTCATCATCATCGTCTCATCGTATCATTGTCATCGTCATCGCCATCATCACCATCATCGACAGTATCAGCATCAGCATCATCATCATCAGCATCAACTTAATCAGCATCATCATCAGCATCAGCATCACTATCAGCATCATCGTCAGCGTCGTCATCATCGCCATGATAACCATCATAATCATCATCACCATCATCATCATCATAATCATCATCATCATCATCACCACCACCACCATCATCATCATCATCATCATCATCATCATCATCATCATCATCATCATCATCATCATCATCATCGCCATCATCGTCATCATCATGCCTCCTCCTCATCCTCCTCCCTATCCACCGGCCCCTCCTACCATCCTTCCTGGTACTGGGCATGCGCACGAATAGCAGGAGGTAGGGATGGGAGAGAGCGGAGGAGAAGATGGAAGTGGAAGAGTCGGAAGCTGGGCGAGGGCTGCTAAAACCGTGGCTGCTAAAACGGCCCTCCCGGAAAGAAAAAACAACTTCCCGGAATGAGGCGCGGCACGCGAAACGGTCAACGGGCTTCTTCCCGGAAGGACGAAGACAACTTCCCGGAGGTCGATTTTAGCAGCCACGGATTTAGCAGCCCTTGCCTGGCTTCCGAGAGAGGGCAGGCGAAAATACAATGTGGAAAAGCATACGCTGCCAACCCACACGAGAAGGAATGTGGGATTATCTTACGCCGCGTGGTTCTTCAAGTATGAGGAGCGGTCGCATGGGCGTGAATGCAAGACCCGATTCCCTCCTCCCCCTCCATCCTCCACTCCTCTTCCTCCTCCACATTTTCTTCCTCGTCCTCCTCTTCCTCTTCCTCGTCCTTCCTCTCCTCCGCTTCCTCCACCTCCACTCATCCCCCCGTGGGGCAGTGCTGAGATGCCCGGGCAAAAACAGGGCAGCGGCAGTCGAGACATACGGACTCGGGGCGGCACGGTAAGGACAAAAACGGCAGAGATCCGCGTTCACGTGTTCCTCTTCGTCCTCCTCGTCCATCCTGTTCCCGATCAGCCTCCCCCTCCCCCTCCACCGTTTTCCTTGTCCCCATCCTGCCCCCCCCTCCTCATCGTCCTCATTATCATCCAACCCTCTCTACACCTATGCTCCTCCTCCCCCATCACCCTCCTCCTCCTCCTCCTCCTCCTCCTCCTCATCATCATCATCATCATCATCATCATCATCATCATCATCATCATCATCATCAGCATCATCACCGTTTTCCTCTCCACCCACTTCTCTCCTTTCTTGTCCTCTTCCTCCTCTTGAACCACCCTTCCTCGCTTCCTCCTCCTCCTCCTCAGCCTCTTTCCCCTGAGCGTCTCCTGAAACATCAGGGCCACAGGGTGACGCGAGTCGTCAGTGCGGTAGAAGTCGGTGCTCTTCCCATGTTGCCTCCCGACTGCCACCCGTGAGATTGCAAGTATACCCCATGTCACCCTTGCCATCTCGATAATACTCGAGTACCGCAACATAATCGCAACTCTCCATAACCCCTTGTCGTCTTCCTTCCCCTTATTTCTTTCTCTGTCTTCCGCTGCCCATATCGTCCGTTCCCTCTGCAACTCTCGCCCGCTCCCCAGATCATCCCTACACGCGTCTGCCTCTCCACCCCTATTCTGCTCTTGATACGCCTCCGCTCCTCGATCGAAGATTCGTTGATCTCCCCCTCCTGCCCCCGCCCCCTCCCTTCTCCCAAACGCACCCCTCCGCGTGCTCGCCCCGCCTGCCGACACCCCTTCTAGCACGCGAGACCGCTCCGTCGCCCGGACGCCATCCCTCCGTCCCTTTGTCGCGCCCCCCTATTACTCCACTCCTCCCAACTCTTCCTTCTCACGCCCCCCACCCCCCACATTCCCCGAGCTCCGTCTCCCCTCGATAGCCTCTGCCTCTTCATTCCGTTTCTCTGTTCTTTCTCTTTCTCCTCCTCCTCCTACGTGAGCCCTCCTGCGTATCATATGTTTGAGCCCACGGCCCCCATTCCATGCCCTACTGGGCACGGGCGGACTCCTCCAAGGAGCGCGCACGACTCTGGGGCGCGCGCTTCGCTTCGCTGCGCTTCACATAACGTCGTTTGCTCCTCCTCCTCCTCCTCCGCCTCTTCTTTGTTGTTTGATTTCTTCCTCCTCATCATCATCCTCGTCCTCCTCCTATTAGTACTCTTCTTAATATGAATAGTGTTCTTCGCATTCTTGCGTTATGACTATTGTTCATAATACTCTTAGTACGTTTCTTATTATTCATACTCTTATTGGTATGGTTATTATTGTTCTGATTAGCATTGCCATTAATAGTTGGTTAGCATGAACGATTTTATTGCTCTCAACTACAGCGTTAGTATTAGTTGCGTTATTAGCAGTGCTATCATTACGTGTACTCTTTTTGTTCTCAGCTGCATCGGTAAAATTACTGTGCTTCTTGCTATGACTAGTACTCGAATTAGTATTCTTCGTAATAAAATTACTAGCTGTACTATTCTTGTTAATGCCCTCATTCGTCGTACGATCCTCCTTGTATGAAGTTTGTTTTGATGACTTGTCGTGCCGAAATTGAGCAACAGCCAACGCTGGCAACTGGTGGGCCAAAGCACCACCCGAAGGCCCTTGTGGGGCCACTGTAGGGCGCATTGCGCCTTCGAGTTGTGTCGCCGCAGCTCACACCGTCAGGAACCAGCTCACCCCTTGGGGCGACAGCAATGCTGGCCAACGGGCGCCCGGACGCCTCCGACGATTCGACGAGCGCGCGGATCGAGTTGGCGGCCTTCTTGATCTCCGGGCCGAACGAGGCCGCCCACGTCTCGTTCAACCTGGCGCTGCCGACGAGCCTGGCGGCGGCGGTCGCGGATGCGAGCTTGGACGCCACGGTGAGCGTCGTGGCCCGATCACCGCCGCCGGCGGACACGGCGAATGCCTCGAGAGCCTCGGCGGCGCCGATCGAGACCGCGGAGAGGCCGGCGCGAAAGGCCACCTTCGCCACGATGGAGATCTCGTCGCGCCGGCTCGCCATCTTGACCGACTCGATGATCCCGTCGTCCGCCGGACAATCTGAAATGAATTGCACCAGAGATGGCGAATGAGCGATCGTGGCCCGCGGAACGAGCCTGAGGTAGAGCTTTGCCAAGCATGCTGCCGCGAAGCGGAGCGCCTGGGACGCCTCGACCTTGTGCCATTCCTGGACCAAGTCAGCGCCGTAGTCGGTCAGGAGCCGGGGCGCATCCCCGATGGCGATCCCAAAACGCTGAATGGTGCGCTCCAAGTGCTCGAGGGCCGGAATCGAGTCGCTCAGCAGCACCGCCTTCCAGGTGTCTGGCACCTGGGCGGCCATGATGTGCAGGTTCCGGAGCGCGGCGACCCCTGGGCCCGTGGTCGCGTCCGTCCACCTCACAGAGACGTGGTGGTGAGCCGTCAAACCGAGGCCAAAGAACAACGCCACGTTCACTTTCGTGTGCACTGCCGCAGCGGGGCACGCCAAGGAGACGGACAGGTCCCATGTGTCAAACGGATGCACCAAGAGCCTGTACATCGTCTTGGCGACGACCGACATTTCGATGGACTCGTGAGTCCTGGCACGCTCTGACGCTGCTAACTGGACGGCGTCGACGACCCTCGTCCTGATGGCGTCCTGAGAAGCCCGAAAGGCTTCCGTCAAATCCACCGTGCCGGCAGACGAAGGAGCTCCCGCCGCAGCCGCGGCGGTGCCCTTGATGGCGCGGAGCTCGTTCGCGGCGAGATTTTCCCCGATCGCCAAGCACGCGTCGACCGTCTCCAACTCAGCCGCCAAATCAACGGGCACCGCCTGCTCTGCCGCCACTTCGACACTGTTGCGCCGCAAGTACGCCTCCGACTGCCTGCCCAGGCTGGTCGGGGTGGCGCCGCAGCTGTGGCCGAGCGCGAGCAGGTCGGCGGCCGCCATGTGCACCAACCCGATCAGGAAGCTCCCCGCGCGCGCGGCGTATGGCTCGAGCGCCGGGATCATCTCGTCTGCCGATGCCCACACAGCCGGGCCGTGTGCCGCGTCGGCCTTCATCGCGGCGACGCGTGCGGTGGCGCCGGCTGACAGCGCGATGCCGGTCTCGTAGTCGACAATCTCCTCGGACGTGGCACGGAGAACGATCTGTTCAGCGTGGAAACCCAGGCCGAACCCGATGCACGCCCCCGCGATCCCGAAGGCGAGCGGTGCCCAATAGGCTCCGAACGCCTCTGTGTACTCCGGCAGCGCCGCCGCGACCTGCCTGTTTACGCGGGAAATGGCGAGCTTGCGAACGTTCGTGGGCGTGAGGGGGCGCACAGCGCTCAACAACCATCGGTCCTGCCTCTGCGCGGTCTCAAAGAGCGCGCCCATGAACGGCGCCCACTCCGCGTCTTGCGTGGTGCCCACCGCTGTCGCAGTGTGCCGAACGTACGTCGGCGGCGTGGCCCCGGCCGCCGCGGTGCCGGCCTCGCGCGCGGTGCAGCCCGCGATGAAGAAGCCTGCGTCGTGCGTGGAGCCCAGCGACGAGAGATGCAGCGGCGAGGTGGCCCAAGAATCCTCGTAGACGATCACGGAATACGCCTCGCACACGGCACGCAGGTCGAGCATGTGCGTCGCCCACGGCTGCTTCGGGACGATGGTGTTCCAGTCGAACGTCGGCGACCCAAGGAGGGCCCGGAGCGTGCGCGCCGCCGTGGCCGCGGCAGCGTTGGCAGCGGCGGTGGCGCCAGCCGCCGCGATCGGCGTGATGCCCAACTCGGCTGCGATCCTTCTTTTATGATGTGTAGTGTTAGCCTTGGTACTGGTATTCGTATTCGTCTGGTTCCTAGTATTAACATTATTCGTCTGATTAATACCATGAGTCGTAGCATCGCCCTTCTTATGATCATGAATACAAATATAATCAATCGCCTTCACACTCGTCACCGTATTAACAATATGTCTCTCAGTCTGAAACTGAGTAGTATCCGTATTATTAGTCGTTGCGTTAGTGTTCTTAATAGTATTAGTATGACTAATACTGTCATCATAGGTGTTAGTATGTATATTATTCGTATTACTCTGATTCGTCTTCTGATTATTTACACTACTCTCAATATTATAAATGGTCGTCGCCATGACCTTCTTCTTATTATTCGGCATAGTTCCTGTATAAATGCTATTAGTATGTTTATTATCCGGCCTCGTATCATTATTCTTGAT